GGTGCTGCCCCAGCCCTCGCACCGCCGGCGATGCTGCGTGCCCGAGGCCGGTTGCTCGGCTAAAGGGCGCTTTGTGGTGCCTGGGGCCTGTAGGCACAGCACAGCAGCAAAAAGCTGAGGCATGATGAGTTTATGTAGCGGGCTCTGGCAGGACTGAAGAAAATGTAAAGCATACATGCATTGTGTTCTTAGCAAGTATCACAGCACATCACCACTAATTACTGACAATCTTCAGGTGTGCTAATTGAATAAATTGCATCTTTGGGTACTATTATGCCACTTACTCTTTCTAAATGGTGGTTTTGGGGCTCACTCCTCCATAGTCTGTTGTGGTTTTACTGCATCTATCAATTTGCTTCACTGTTTGGCGAAAAAGATTTCTGCCCGTGGCATGTTTGTTTCACTGTCCTGTTAAACAGAGTTCTCATTATTTTGTTTCAATTCCAACATCAGATTAAGCTATGTCACTTGATCTTGCTATTTTTGTGTATCAGAATGTTCCCTTGTGTGCATACTAGAAATGAAGGCTTGTGGTATCGGCATGATGCTTACTGCCTTCTCATGTCTGAAAGCATTTATAGTTCAAATGTTGCAGATTGTCCTTATAACAACCTGCTTACATAGTCATGCCTGCCTGTGCATGCTTACCAATGCACCTGAGCTGTAAACCAAAGTTTATTCTTTCCTCATAAATTCAGCAGGTTCAGTGGTTCTGAACTATTTGCACCACAAACTCCTAACTATGAGACTCCTGAAGATGCTATGATTTACCACTGCCCATCTTGCTCTGTTTGGTTTCTGGTCATCTGCGCGTGAGGCTGGAAATTGCTGCTTTCATTTATGTCGATGTGGCAGGGTTTTTTAATAGTTCCTAGTTTGGGCAATGATAATACAGCCTTTGCTTCCACAGGTAAACAGTAATGATTTATTTGTTCCCTGAGGTTTGTGGTAAGAGGTTTTTTTCTGGACAGTGTACTTCTTCATGGGGTGAGACTATTTAAAAAGTAGAGGTAGTAAAAATAATAGCTGGGCATAACACTTGAACATCTATCAGTATTCCTTGGTAACTGTAGCATTAAAAACCTGTCCTATTTGTAAAGGCGTATTCTTCACATACATAAATCACTGGTCTTTGACTATGAGTAATTAAATTCTTGATTAGTTTCTAGTTAAAATGGAATCTTAATGATCCACCTATCTAATTGTCAGTTAATAATAAACTGGCTACAGACTACTTAGCAGTCTTGTTGCTTGCCTTCGTACTGTAGATGCTTACCCGACTTTTCTTTCTGTGTGCTTTGAAATTTTATATTCTGCATCCATTAATGGTTGTGTGAGATGTACAGCTGGAAAGGAAGGTCACCCACAGAGTTTCTGCTCAACTGTTCTTTATCCTGGGAGATTTTCCCAACTAAATGTACCTGTGGGACTTTTGTTTTTATAGGTTTAATAATTATACTCAATTTAAATTCTGGTTGCAGTAGAGTTTATGTGAAAATCACGTATCTCTTTTAGCAAGAACCACCTGTGTCTGTGTGCAACACTTAACAAAGTAGGATCTGGGGGGTTCCAGGCGCTGCTGCATCAGAAATATTGCTGGGGATTTTGTTTTCCTTTTTTCGGTATAAAAATGCATAGCAATGTACATGAAATTGTCCTAGAGAATAATTTAAATCTCCTCTTAGTGACTTAAGCCAAGGCTGTTGCCATAAGTTAACTTCTGTTTCTTCACAGGCTGCATGCAACTTCATAAAATCTCACGTGGACTCCAGCAGTGTTGATTCCCTCTTCTATGCTGCACAGTCCATCCGAGTGCTGTCTGGCTGCGAGGTGAGTTTGGAGCCCTGAGCTCTGCACACGGGTGTCACCAAGCAAATATTTACCTTGATACTTTTCTTGGTTTTATTTTATGCATGACTTGTACTTTTACTTTCTTTTAATGAGTTGTGCTCTGTTGTGTCTTAGGTGAATAACTTTGGAAGTGTCTGGGAATACCCTATACAAGGCAAAGGGTAAAAGTATAAAGGAAGTATTTGGTCCACAATAATTCTGAAAAGATCTTAATAGAATTCACAGCAGCTGTATCAATTAAAAACTTTTTGGGGCAGGTAATAAACTGTTTGGATGTAAACCTTCTGTTGCAACACTGCGATGCTACGAGCGCAGCCCGCCCTTGCTGAATTGTGGGTGGGTTATCCAAGCCCCATTTCTCATTAGTACCAGCGGCTGCTGCACAATGATGCGATGCCAGATGAAAAGCACTAGCGGGTTGCCAGGATAAATCTGAATTGTGGATTATCCTTACTGATAGTAGACAGTAAAACTTAGGGATTTAATGAATTAAACTAAAAGGTAAAGAATGATAAAGGGCTTTTTCTCAAAAGCGTGTAGTAGTTCACCAGTCAAGTGTGTTGCTCCAGGAAGAAATCAGTGGTGACTAGAAGACCTTGTTTTCTCAGGTATGAACCAACATGTTCCCTGTGTTCTTCTTCAGGTTACCATTTCAAATGAGACCAGGGAGCTGCTGCTTGCAGCTGTCAGTGAGGATTCCTCAGTCACCCAGATCTTCCACGCTGTTGGGGCCCTGAGTGCCTTTGGCCTTCCTTTAGCATCCCAGGAAGCACTTAGTGCTCTTACTGCTCGTCTTAGCAAAGAAGAAAATGTGCTGGCGTAAGTTTTTCAGGTGGAAATTATTCACTGTTATATGTTTATCCTCTAGGTAGTTGGGTTTTGGAGTAGAGAGTATTTTAACGCTCAATTTTTGTAATACAGATGTAATAGAGTAGGTGCTGTGTTTCCATTTGGTGTATTTGTTCAGTTCATTATTGTTCCTCTGGGGGAGTGAAAAATATGATTTTGAGCTGTTTTCTGTGTGATTTTTACGAATTAGTGTATGTATTCAGTTTAGTCCGAGAGTAATAGTCGGTAAAGAGGATACATCCCAAAGAAGCCTCCCTTTTTAAAATGATTCACAACAAGTTATTTACTTAAAACCCAGCCGTGGTTCCATGTCATTTACAGTTGCAATAGCCTTGATGCTCTTCCTCAGCTCTGTTGTTCAGAGGTTAAGATGCCTGTACTATGAGGTGGAAAAAACATGCCAGTAAGCAGAAGAAACCTTGGCATTTATCACCAAAGAATGAAGTAATTTTACTGTGAAAGGAGAGAATAGAGATTTCCTTAAAAGCTAGAGAAGAAAAGGAAACATTAAAACTTGCTTTGTTGACCAAAACGATGGATTCCTGGAAGCCTCATTAGCAAGTCTGAGGATCTGTGCTGTGCAGGGATCGAAGTTTGGTTTCTTCTCTGCCTTTGAATCTGAGTTTACTGCAGTGCTGATGCAGCTGAAGTGGCGTTCCCTAATGAATTCTAAGTTTCCACTAAATCATTTCACATTCATTGCCTTGAGTCAACTGAATGCAGTAACATCTGTTTTACACTTCATTCAGAATGGAAACTGTAGTTACTTTGATTTGAATGATGTTTGGCTTTTAAGGAAGGGAAATCATACAGTTGTTTGATTCTGTTTATTCTTGTTTAAGAACCATCCAGGCTTTGGAGACAGCATCTTACTTGTCCCAGCAGGCAGACCTAAGTGGCATTGTTGAGGAAATAGAGGTAGGAACACACTATACTCTCTAATTATTCAGGACTTTTAGACCTCTGTAGTACTGAAAGATGTATTAATGTGAAACACAAAACGAACCTGGCTAATTCCTTGCAAAACCAACCATGCTAATTACTTGTGTGGTATGGGTTGGCTTGGCTCTTCTGTTTAAGCAGATATTTCTTCTGGACTTTTAACTGTTTCACAGTGGACTAAGACACAGAAAGTCATGACTTCTAAGTATAATAATAATATAAATCTACTAGAGATTTCTTTTTCTTCCTCTTTCTAAATGACTATTACAAAATACTGCAGTGATCCTGTACAGATATTGAATTAATGAATTAACTTATGTGGATTTACTAGAATGCAATTTAAATTTTATTAACACTTTTTGTCAGGATCTTGTTGCTCGCCTGGATGATTTGGGTGGAGTTTATCTGCAGTTTGAAGAAGGAATTGAGACTACTGCACTGTTTGCTGCTGCTGCCTATAAGCTGTCGGACCATGTGGGTACAGAACCAGCAATGAAGGAGGTCTGTATCTGCCTTCTCCTAGTCCTGTTGTGCAGTGCAAGAGGCCGGTGTAACTGCATAGACTTTCTACTGGAAAAAATAATGGACACACTCATTGAAAAGAGGCATCTCAGAGGCTAACAGGATGTAGCAGGAAATTCCACCTTCAAGATCACAGACTGAATTTGTTGGGGGCTTTTTTGGTTGGTTGGTTTTTAATGTTTTCAAATGTACAGAAGAAAATTGCAAGTGAGGCCTAGTTTTTTTCTGTTTATTGACACAAGCTGTTGAAAAGAACCCTCTTGTTTCAGAGGTTGTTCTGGTAATTGGCACTTGTCTGGCACTTTCCAGCATTCCAAAGTGTTCTGCAAATGTTATTTACCTGTGAGGAAATGCAGTTTGGGGTGCCCAAAAGGGAGACAATCATCCAGATGATAAAACCTGTTGTCTCAAATAACAAACTGTTGGAAATTCCTTTTGAGCTTGATTAAGCTAGAAATCGTCACCGTGAGCTATCCACTTAGTATTTTTTCCCACAACAAGTTAACTGAAGTAGATGTACTTTTGATTGAAAATGGCAGCTCCCTAAAGCACAAGCCAAAGCAGCAGGGCTGAGACAGAAGCCCGTGTAAGACATCTGAGTTCATTCCTGGCTCCCTTCCATGCTGCTGCCAAACAGACTAATGCAAAGTAATTTTGATGTCATTTTTGAGGTCGTGATTCTGCTGCACACAATTCAAACTGTCAGCATCCAAATGATCTTTTAAAAAAAGACCAATTAAAGAGAATTGTTTAGTGTTTTTTTCAGAATTCTGCTGTCAGAAGTGCTGTTGTTGAGGCTTAAAGCTTTATCTCTTCTGAATGGTGAGAGAGCCCGCAGAATGCCACAAAATTCTCTTTAAAAATCAACTTGTAGTATTTGAAAAAATAGCTCCTCCTTCTCCCCTGCCCCAGTTTAAATGAGAGTGTCAGATGCTGATTACGGTCTGGAGCTATGCCATGCCCTCCGTATAAACGAAAAACACTGCAAGATTTGCACTATGCATGAGTTTTGTAGCTTCTGTCTGGATGCTTTCTCTAGTTATGTTGTGTACATTGGTGTTCATTAATGCGGGTAGGAGGGGGAACATTTGAGATGCAGTGGGTTTCATTTAAAAGTCTTTTTTGTCTGTAGTATGCCTATTGCTTTATTTGAGATTGTCTTTGATTATTCTCAGTTCTGATTAGAGTTTAGCACCCACAGTCCTTTTCTTGGATCAAAGTACAGGTAACCAAACCATCTGTTTTCCAGATGAGCAGGGAGTAATGGAAGAATCTGAATAACATGGCATACCCTGCAGAGTGTGGCACAGATACAGTAACCCTACAAAGTCAGGCTGCAAAACCAGCTGGGGGATGCAGTCTCACTCCTACTTTGGAGAGAGCAAATTAGCTTTGGCACATCCCAGAGCCAGAGCTGGCTCTGTGCTCCTGGTGGTACTGCTTTAAAGCTAATCCTCTTAGCCTGAGGACACTGCTGAGCCTAAGGGGATAAGCCTGCATGGGCCTAGACTGGCTCCTTCCAGAGCCATTAGGATTCTTTGCATCACCTCTCCGTGGCCTTCCCAGCTTGGCAGGTAGCCAGGACACCTAGCTTAGGCCTTCTACACTGCATGAGGACAATTGTATGGTTCCCAGAGCCAAATTGTCTTTTTGCAGTTGCATGCAGTCTGGATAGCCGAGCTGATGGCATATTCTGTTCTGAAACGTAGTTTGAAGAGGTAGATCCAAATTCTGGTTTTGTAGGTTTTCAGCACAACTACAGTGATGGTGGTTGGAAACCTCCCAGTCAAAAATAAGCATGCTAATGTGCATTCAAAAGGCAGCTAATTTTGGGTTACCTCATAACTTGGGTTAGTTTTAAAGCAAATGGGAAATTAAACAGTCTTTATGAATTATGTTTTTATTAATAACTTTATACTGAGCCAGTTTGCAATGTTGTGGTAAGCCGCTGGTGCTTACATGTGATTTGCTTGTCCTCTTTCAGGATCAAATTATCCAGTTGATGAATGCGATTTTTAGCAAGAAGAACTTTGAGACCCTCTCAGAGGCCTTCAGCATTGCTTGTGCTGCAGGTTCTTTATCCCGGAACCGCTACCACTTGCCTGTCATTATTGTCCCTGAAGGGCCTGCAGCTGTGTCTCACCATCAGCCTGTACTCAGGGTGAGTCCTTAGCCCCAGATCTTTACTCATCTCTTGGCTCAGTCTTGCGTATTGTAGGTGTGGGCTGACTGAGTGTGTAAAGTGATGCCTTTCATTTTTAGTTCCAGGACTCAGATTCCAGTAGAGTTTTAGTGCTCTTATAAAGGGATTCTTAGGAACTTCTGCTTATCCAGGGCTTACCAGATGCTGCCTTGAGAATACACTGCATGGAAGTCAGCTCTGCTGATTACAAACTTTAGCTTTCCCAGTTGTGTTAGAAAGAACTAGGTGAATCTGGGATGCTGGGCAATGGAGAATTCTGGGTGTATAATGCAGAGGGACAATGAATCATCTGTGCTCCTGCATTCCTTCTGGGACAACAGGTTTCACAGGAATTCTTGGTTTTCTCTTGTAGCTACAAGTGACTGATGTTATGTCCCAGCCACTGACTCAAGCTTCTGTAAAACTGGACTACGCCAAGTCTGCATCCAGCAAAGCCACTGTCCTTCAACAGACGGCATTTGCTCTGTCAGGGTAGGAATATAATCTTATTTTTACTGTTTGTAAGGCAAACAGGTGTTACTCAAACAGTGTTGGACTTATTTTCCTTATGGGTTTGTCTACCTGAGAAATGTTTGTATGATGGAAAACTCAAAATGCTGTAGTTGCGTTTGGTTGGTCATGGGTGAATGAGCGCAGCTGGTACTGATGGTAAATTTTGTTGCTTTTGATTGTGGGGAATTGCAATGTTTTTCTGACTTCGGGTGCACTTTGAAGAATTCATTTTCCTGCTGCACTTAGCCATGTTAGTTTTGTGCTGCATTGGTCTGTTTGCCTGCTTAATCTAGCAAATTTGGAGACTTCTTGGTAGGAAGATATTACCTGTTTGTATTAGTGTCCTAGAGGATACTTAACACCTTGCTCTTTTTTTATAGAGATGTCTTTGAGCTGAACTTCATGAATGTGAAACCTGCAAGTGGATATTATGATTTCTCTATCAGTGTTGATGGAGATAAGCGATTTATTGCTAACAAAATCGAAGTGAGTATGCTTTTTGGTGGCATTTTAATTCTGTGTCTATTAACTGAAACAGCTTTTTATTTATACCCATTAAGGATGCTGCCAATTGTGTGGCATTTATCACATGTTTTTCTGTAATGCATTGGATTTTGACTCAGGATTATGACCAGTAACCAGATTAATACATGATCAAAAGAGATTTGTGTAAATTTCAAAACTGACTTATCATTTAGATACTGATCTGACAGCATATGAACAAAGGCTGACAAAGGGAAGTGTTCATGCAGCAGCACAAAGTAGCTATGCAAAAACAATTACTAACAATGTTAGTTCTTCAGAGCATTCAGGATTTGAGTCTGAATTTCGAGGCTTGGCTAGCAGTTGTCTGGTGATTGCCTGATGAATGGAAGCTGAGCATTTGTTGTCTGTTTATATAAGCTCTGCAGCACTAGAAAAGAGTCAAAGAGGGTCTTTTGGCATCTCCTAACTGTCTATGATGCTTTTGTAGTGCAGAAACACTGACCAAAGCAAATGAAGTCTTCATTTCATGCATGCATACCTCCTTTTTGGTGGCAAAAGCTGTTATACCACACCTTTCTGAAGAGGAGTTTTATATAAACACTGAGAGTTTACTTTCCTTACAGTGAGAAGAATGTGACCTCTGTGACTATTCATATAGTCACCCCAGTGTCAACAGCTGAGAATGCTCTTCTCCACTGAAGTCTGTTCCCAGGGTTAGTTTTTACCCTCAGTCACCTACTTAAGGAAAAGATGAGCTTATAAAGTCTTCAAACATAGCTTGCAGTGGAGAAAGACACTTACAACTGCTGACCTTTATTCTTTGGATCAAATTGATGTGTCATTGTAGTAGTAATGGCACTTAGGAGTGTCAAAAGGGGATTGATTGGTCCTGCTTAAGCTCGCTGCTGGCACACAGAGGGGCACACAGAGGTACCGGTAGGAATGCATTAACACTGGGACGGCTTTGTGTGAACCGGTTCTAATAAGACACATTGTTATGGGGGAGAACTGCTGGGGCAGCTGCTTTTTTTTCCTTACTGTTATTAGCATTAATTGTCCTTAATGCACCATCGCTTTGACAGTAATGAGCTAAACCAGTGGGGTTATTACTCTGGCAGAGACTACATTTCCTGGCATTAAAATATTTGAGAGATGTTTGTGTACTGTGCAGTTGGAGGGGCTGTGTGCAGCAGCTCTGAGCTGCTTTTATGCAACTTTTTAAAAATGAATATTTCGTCCATCTTTCTTTGTTCCCATCTTGGAACAAACTTAGGCTTTACTAAAGTTAGCCTGAGCAGTCTAAATGTTAATGGCTTGATTATCAAGGGTACCTTCTGTCTTAAATTACCATTTTTGTTGAACTGCCAAGATTGTTGTGTTTGAAGTCTGACTTGAATAGTTTGATTTATGTTTTTACATATTTTTCCCACAGGTTCCCTGTGAATTACTTTTCAGGGCAAGGGCGTGGGGCTGGTTCACATGAGCAAACCTGTAATAACAAATTGTAGTATAGGATGAAAAATACCTTGGCAAAGAAACTGTAGTTCTCCAGGGGACCATTTGTAAACTGTGAGAACAAATGTGCTAATTAAAAACTACAGACTTCAGTAACTGCTTATATTTTGGAGAAGGATTGAAATCAGTCAAACCCACCGAGGTCCACTGCATAGATGGTCTGGCTGGGGACTGGAGAGAGGGCAGGAAACCATTTCTCTGCTCAGGGTTTATACAGCACTTAGCACAAAGGAGAGTGATAAATGGTAGGGCCTTATTGGCAGCCCTGCACCAATGATAAATGCTGTGACTCCTGAGGAAG